GGTGTAATATTTTTCTGTTAATTGTTGGATATTATGGTGTAAAAAAGCGACAATTTTAAGCAGTAAAATAAAAATAAAATTTCGCATACATATTTCTTGAGAAAGACAATTTTTACTGAAATTTTAGATCAATTCACCTGCCTGCCCTTTTCTTTCTTTCCTTCTGTCTTTCTTTCTTTCTAGATAGATAGATAGATAGAGTTTAGTTGACAACTTATGCATACAGTATTAATAAAATAGATGCTATAAAATCTCGTTCCCTCTCTCTCTCTCTCTCTCTCTCTCTCTCTCTCTCTCTCTCTCTCCTCTCCTCCTGCCCCCCTCCCATTCTCTTCCCTACTCTCCCTCTCCCTCACTCACCATTAAGTACGTGGACCCTGAGAGTGGTGACGGCTGTGTTGGAGGGAGCACAAGAATAGTTCCCGGTGTCGGAAGCCTTAGCATCCTGTGGGGAGGGAAAATTGTTACTTAGTTGTTCTGTGGGGATGGAAAATGTTACTTAATTGTTCTGTAAGGAGGGAACATTGTTACTTAGTTGTTCTGTGGGGAGGGAACATTGTTACTTAATTGTTCTGTAGGGAGGGAACATTGTTACTTAGTTGTTCTGTGGGGAGAGAAAATTGTTACTTAGTTATTCTGTGGGGATGGAAAATGTTACTTAATTGTTCTGTAAAGAGGGAAAATGTTACTTAATTGTTCTGTAAGGAGGGAACATTGTTACTTAGTTGTTCTGTGGGGAGGGAACATTGTTACTTAATTGTTCTGTAGGGAGGGAACATTGTTACTTAGTTGTTCTGTGGGGAGGGAAAATTGTTACTTAGTTATTCTGTGGGGATGGAAAATGTTACATAATTGTTCTGTAAGGAGGGAACATTGTTACTTAGTTGTTCTGTGGGGGTAACATTGTTACTTAATTGTTCTGTAGGGAGGGAACATTGTTACTTAGTTGTTCTGTGGGGAGGGAACATTGTTACTTAGTTGTTCTGTGGGGAGGAAACATTATTACTTAGTTGTTCTGTGGGGAGGGAACATTGTTAATTAGTAGTTCTCTGGGGAGGGAACATTGTTACTTAGTTGTTCTGTGGGGAGAGAGCATTGTAATTTTGACTAGGCGTCCAATTTGGTACCACAAAACCAATGTACTGCTACTACTACTACTACTACTACTTTTTTTTCTTTCTTTTTTCATTTAAATGGCCTCCAGCCTCCCCCAATAGCCATACCTTCGCCACCATTTTATTACTTGATATTAAATTTCCTAATACATAAGTAGCTATCCTAGCTCTGTTGAGTTAGTTGAGCCGCAGATCTATGCGGCATTCAGTGACTGTAGCCTCATAGTCAATATCTGCAACTGTTGTCGGTTTTGGGGCCGATGCTCTCGTTTCCCTGAGGCAGAGCAAAGTCAACCGAAAGAGAGAGAAGGGCAGTCGACATCTCATCCAGGCTGTAACATAACTTCTGGGCTGCTGCTTCTGTTCGGATATCACCTCCGCGAGTCTGGCGTAGAAGCATCTTGCACTTGGTCCCATCCCACCAGAGCTTGTGAACACTAGAGGAATGAAGCTGCCATGATCAACGTTCTGAATTCTCTCCCGCATGCCCTTATCTTGTCGTTCCCGTTCCTCCTGTGTGCAGCATCGAGTGCTAAGTTACGGTGACATGCGGCCATGGGATAAAAAATCCTGATGCCGAAGAAGGCTTGCTGTCCCTGCGTCCAAAATCCTCGAGCACTGACGTCAACATGGGCTTCGTTGAATGTGTTTGAAGTCCTAGGTTGGAAAATCTCATCGTCCAATGGAAGGAGGGTCGGTTCTACCCTGACATCACGGCAGATTTCCTTGAACATATTTGCCACTACTACTACTACATGGCCTCCAGCCTCCCCCAATAGCCACACCTTCGCCGTCAGTGCTCGAGGATTCTGGACGCGGGGACAGCGAGCCTTCTTCGGCATCAGGATTTTTTATTTCATGGCCGCATGTCACCGTAACTTAGCTCTCGATGCTGCACAGAGGAAGAACGGGAACGACAAGATAAGGGCATATGGGGAGAGAATTCAGAACGTTGATCAAGGCAGCTTCACTCCTCTAGTGTTCACAACCTCTGGTGGGATGGGACCAAGTGCAAGATGCTTCTACGCCAGACTCACGGAGGTGATATCCGAACAGAAGCAGCAGCCCAGAAGTTATGTTAAAGCCTGGATGAGATGTCGACTGTCCTTCTCTCGCCTTAGGTTGGCTTTGCTCTGCCTCAGGGGAACGAGAGCATCGGCCCCAAGCCGACAACAGTTGCAGATATTGACTATGAGGCAACAGTCAATAAATGCCGCATAGATCTTAGGCTCAACTAACTCAACACAGCTAGGATAGCTACTTATGTATTAGGATATTTAATTTTAAGATAATACAATGGTGGCGAGGATGTGGCTATTAGGGGAGGATGGAGGCAAAAAAAAATAGTAGTAGTAGTAGTAGTAGCAGTAGTTTTGTTGTGGACGGAGGAAAGCTCCGGGTTTTTTCGTAAGAAAACCGGGCTCCTAACAGGGACAACCAGCCAGAACTATCGGATTTATTACTTGTGTATGTGTAGTGCGTGAAATGATCACAGTGTCCTCCACTTGTGTGGATATTGATGATAGTCATTGGAGAGCCAGGGATTGTATGGCAGGTGGAGCTGATGTTGGTTAGTGCCACGTAGGCCGTGGCGCGTAAACCTAGCAGGTAATGGTCGCCCCGTGCCGAGCCTTCGTCTGCCCCGCCCAGCTCTGCCCCGCCCGGCCCCGCCCGGCCTCGCCCGGCCTGCCCGACCCTGTCGGCCTGTACACCAAAACTGACCCTCCCTCCTCCACTCCCAAACCACAACCATCTACCTCTCCCACTGCTTTCTCCTTCCAATGGCGATATCATGGCTGGGAAATGTGCTTGTCAGTGCTCAGGCCGGACTCAGAAATACACAACCTGTATTTGTGTGAGAAATAACAAACATTGTGTGGGTTGCAGGAAAGGGACCAGCTGTCAAAATCCCTACGGCAGAGATTCATCACCTGATGACGACACGCCAGACGATAGTAGTGAACCCACTCAGTCGGAAAATACTGTTCATGAGGTGCATAACATACAGTCAACAAATTGGAAAGGCTTGTCGGGGGACAATGCGGAGAAATGGGTAAAAAATGTCTACTCAGAAGTGGTCAGGTGGTCGCCAGCTAACCTCTTTCAACCACCCAAGTGTGCGGCCACCAAAGAAATGATCCGGGAGATGACTTGCGTCATAATCAATTACACTCACGACTCTCCCCCCTAGCCCCACTAGCTCTTCAAATACTGGCTATTATACCCCATCTATTCTGTCAGAGGACATACGCAAGGTCTAAGAGTAAAGAAAGTGTGGCAGCAATGAATAGAAGATTAACAATGTGGCAGATTAGGGCCCTTGATGATCTCCTACGCAAAGCAAGAACACTGCAGAAGAGACTAAAATTCATTGGAGACAGAAAGCAAAACACAGAGGATGTTGCCAGAAAATTTGGAGGTGGGCGCCTCGAACTGGTTACCAACGTTACCGATAAGAGCAAAATGCTTCATCCTTAATAAACAAGAATTCACAGTCGAAGGTTTGCCTTCACCATGCGTGTGTGGCTCATCTTCATACATCGACCACGCCATGGTGTACAAGAAAGGGGCTTCCTATGCATGAGGCATTTCGAAGTAAGGGATCTCACAGCATATTTGTTGAAGGAGATCAGCCACGACGTCATGGTGGGACCGCCTCTCCTTCCATTGGAAGGTGAGAATTTCCATCGCAGAACTTCAAACACATCCAACGAAGCCCATGTGGACGTCAGTGGTCGAGGATTCTGGATGCGGGGACAGCGAGCCTTCTTTGACATAAGGATTTTCGATCCCATAGCCGCATGTCACCATAACGTAGCTCTCGATGCTGCACACAGGAGGAACAAGAATGACAAGATCAGGGCATATGGGGAGAGAATTCTGAATGCTGATCAGGGCAGCTTGACTCCTCTGATGTTCACAACCTCTGGTGGGATGAGACCAAGTGCTGCCGTTCCGTCGTAATGGACCGTCTAGTCTTGTTTAATTCGTTGGTATCCACCTAACTAGTTGCATTCTGAACTAATATGTGCTCAGTGAGGGCTGTCGTGAGCTTGACAGAGTTCTGAGGTTCGGTAGCAGCAAGCTCCTCTGGATTAGTCTATCCTATTCCTCCCCGTCTCGGTGGTAGTGCAAGGAGTAACCTTTCTGCTGGGGTTAAATAACTTTCTACTACTACTACTGCTACTATTTTTTTTTCTTCTTTTAAACGTCGCCTCCATCCTCCCCCAAAAGCCACGCCTTCGCTGCCATTTTATTAACTTAAAATTAAATATCCTGATACATAGGTACAATTACTACTCCTTCTAATACTTTCTATTACTAAATCAACTATTACGCCTACTACTATAACTACCGAATTATTATTACTATTACTACTTTTTTTTACTACTACTACTACTACCACTACTAAAACTTTTATTAGTACTGCTATTATTACTACTACTACTACTTGTGGCTCATCTTCCTCTTTTTAATAATTCTAAACCAACTTTCTCACATTACATAATATTCCTTACATTATTGTTACACTACAACCTTGATCTGTTAACTCTGTAATTAAGTTCCATCAAACTTTTCCACAACACAACCACTGTTTCACAACAATATTATCACACTATAACTTTATCAAGATAATCTATAATTCAGTTAACCCGAATACATACATTTCAACAATATATTACTACAACACTACTTCGCAATTGCTATATTACTCTATTATTTAATAAACAGATAGTGGATTGCTATCAAAATCACATCCCACAGATATAATATATTAATTACAAAAAGAGAAGAGCTCGCTAATGCTTACCTACAGGATCTGACTCTTCCTTAAACTAATATACATGAAAATAATTACTTTGATCTTGACTTGTAGCTTTATCTCTTGACCAACCACCAAGTTTCATTAAAATCGTGCATCTGGTTTTGAAGAATGAGATGTTTACAAACTAACCAAAAGAAGGGTAACAACAGTAGGTGTCTCGTCACCACTTACCTGTATCAGTAAGTATCCCCTGGTTGTATTGCCTCTTTCAGTCACCACAGTAATACCGCCTCTTGGAGAGTCGTAATGCACCACCTGAAGAACAAAGATACCTTGTAATTTGACAGCAAAAATTATTCACTCTATATCCATCTATTTATCTGTTCATCTATCATATTTTATGTATCCATCTATTCATTTATTTTCCTGTTATATATATATATATATATATATATATATATATATATATATATATATATATATATATATATATATATATATATATATATATATATATATATATATATATATATATATATATATATATATATATAAATGCAAGTAAATCACTGTAGTTTCGCCTGATCTAGGTATATGCTGATAACCACATGGAAAGAAGAAAACACGAAGTTCCCAAGCACTTTCGTGTAATTCACATCTTCAAGGGTGAGTACAGTCTGTATTCACCCCTGAAGATGTGAATTACACGAAAGTGCTTGGGAACTTCGTGTTTTCTTCTTTCCTTGTGGTTATCAGCATATATAGCACGTGGACTCCCACATACAAACAATACCTCACTAGTCGGGAATCGAACCCTGGACCTTTACGTGTGAACAGGGATCGCTACCACCGCGCCACAAGGACAACAAATTCACATTTAGGCTTTGTTATATTCCACACAAGGCCTGTTCAACGTGTTTGTTAAGCACCATGAACCTCCACTGGGGATTGCCCGTGCCAACTATGTGGTCGGAGTAGCATTTTACCGAATCCAGCTGGGAAACATGAGGTATATACTATATATACTATATCTCATCAGGCCATATAGCACGTGGACTTCCATATCCAAACAATACATCACTAATATTATTATTATTATTATTATTATTATTATTATTATTATTATTATTATTATTATTACTATTAATATTATTATTATTATTACTATTATTATTATTATTACCATAAACAGGAGGTATAGTAAGGGTTATGTAGACATAATCTAATTTAACATTTAGGTCCTATACTATTGTTGTAGTACTGATAAGTAACCTTTCCTTTGCATTACAAGAGGATGAGTTACCCTTGTCTGTTAGGTCCCAGAGGATGAGTTACCTTGTATTTGAGGTTCCAGTGGATGAGTTACCTCGTATTTGAGGTACCAGAATGATGAGTTACCTTGTCTTTGAGGTATTAGCAATAAGTTACCTTGTGTGAGTATTTGGGGGACCAGAGGATAAGTTACCTTGTATTTGCGGTACCAGTGAATGAGTTATCTTATATTTGAGGTACCTAAATGATGAGTTACCTTGTCTTTCATGTAAATTAATAAGTTACCTTGTATGAGTATTTGAGGGACCAGAAGATAAGTTAATTTGTCTCTGAGGTACCAGAAGATGAGTTACCTTGTTTTTGAGGTACCAGTTGTTATGGGACATACTTGTATTGGGGTTATTATAATCTTCCACAACATGAAAACACAAGGAAAGAAAAATGGGGAACGGGAATATTCATAATACACTAGAAACTGTTAATATACGTTAAGTATTAAACATATTTACACTATATACACAGAAAGGTGAAAATGAAAGTACATCAACTACAACCGGGGAACAACACCAGGGACAAAAAGACAAGAATCTCTAATCCTCCAATTAGAGCATGGAACAAGTGTTGCCTATCACAATATACATTATAATTATAATCCTAATCCATATACACAAAGTAAATTTAGCAACACAAATCCCTCAGCGACACCGGATGCGCGTACACAGTGCCAGGCAGAACCGGTCAGAACAACAGTACGTCAAGAAGCCAGGGGAGTGGGTGAGTCACAGCTACTGGTAGACCTACCAACTAACCTCTAAGAGTTGCCAGGTTGCTTATTACTCACTACAAGGATGTAAACATTGACACATATAATACATAATTTACAATACAACAACACATATCACAAACATAACATAATACATGTAAGATGAAAAAGAATAAACATGAATATAATTCGTTCTTTGAACGAGCTAACTACCAAGTTCCCATCACACAGTGAAAGAGTCACCTTGTCTTTGAGGTACCAAAGGATGAGTTACCTTCTCTTTGGGATACCATTGAATGAGTTACTTTGTCTTTGACATATCAGAAGATGAGTTACCTTGACTTTGAGGTAGCAGATGAGTTACCTTGTCTTTGAGGTACAACAAGATGAGTTAACTTGTCTATGAGGTACCAGCGAATAAGCTACCTTGTCTTTGAGTTACCAGAAAATGAGTTACATTAGTTACCGTGTCTTTGAAATACCAGTGGATTCGTTACCTTGTCCTTGAAGTACCAGAAGACGAGTTACGTTATCTTTGAGATACCAGATGAGTTACCTTGTCTTTGAGGTACCAGAAGATGAGTTACCTTGTCTTTGTGGTATCAAATGATAAGTTACCTTGCCGTTGTGATACCAGAAGATGAAGGCTGGGGGTTCTGGGCTGTGTTCTACTATGCAGGTGAGGTTGATTGTGGAGCCTTTGTCTACGTGCATGTCAGGTGATCCAATGATCTCTGCCTGGGGCGCCGCTGTGAGTGGAGAGAGAGAGGTATGTTAGAGAGAGAGAGTGAGAGAGAGAGAGAGAGAGAGAGAGAGAGAGAGAGAGAGAGAGAGAGAGAGAGAGAGATATTTTCGTCACAGTGATTAGCGAAGACATTTTCCCATAAATCACCAATCAAAAACGATCCCTCTCCTCCCAATCAACCAATCAACTACCGACTCCTTTCCCGCCAATCAAACAATAAACTAACGATTCCTTTCCTGCCAATCAACCAATCAACTAGCGATCCTTTTCCTCCCAATCATCCAATCAACTAACAACTCCTTTCCTGTCAATCAACCAATCAACTACCGACTCCTTTCCCGCTAATCAAACAATAAACTAGCAACTCCTTTCCTGTCAATCAATCAATCAACTAACGATCACTCTCCTCCCTCTCAACCAACCTCGTCCGTATTGAGCAAGAGGATGGCAGAAGGTAGAGAAACACTCACTACTAGTAGGTTAGTGGCGTTGTATAGTGGTAGGTGAGCTGGGTGAGAGTTAATGGCAAGGAGGGCAGTAAACAACGCCTTTATGACCACCACTCAACTTCTCTCCTCCTCCCCCCACCATTCCCCTCCTCTCCCCCCCCATTACTTCGCCTCCTCCTCTCCCCATTACATCCCTCCTCTTCCTCCTTCCCCTTCCCACTACTTCTCTCCTCCTTCTCCTCCTCTTCTCTACCACTTCCCTCCACCTCCCCCATTACTTGCCTCCGCTTCCCACCATTACTTGCCTCCTCCTCCACATTACTTCCCTCCCCCTCCCCATAACTTCCCTTCCCCTCCTCCATAACTTCCCTCTTCCTCCTCCTCCTTCTCCTTTTCCCCATTCCCCTTCCTCCTCCTTCCTTCCCAACGCTTCCTCCTCCTCCTCCTCTCCTCCTCCCTCCTCCTTCCCACCAGCTTCCTCCTCCTCCTCCCTCCCTCCCTCCTTCACCACCACATTTGTCCTCCTCCCTGCAACACCACTTCTTCCTCCTCCTACCCATTACTCCATTACTTTCTCCCTTTCCCTTCTCCCTGACCAATTCTCCTCCTCCCCCATTACTGCCCTCCTCCTACCCACCCCTTCCCACCTCCTCCCACCACTTCCTCCTTCTCCCCACCATTTTCCTCCTCCCTCACGCCGTCCTCACATCCTTCCCTCCTCCACTCACACACCCCATGCCCACTTTAACTTCTACTTTTTAACTCCCTCCTTCCTGTCCCAACTCCCACCTCCCTTCCCTATTCTAACCTCCTCCTTCCTCCTGAGTCAGATTCTATAGGACAAAGAATGATCCTGGGGGTGTTGTGAGTGAGAGAAGGGAGCTTGAGGTGTTGATAGTTTTTTTTTTTTTTTTTTATATTTGGATTAGCCCACCAGGTACAGGTCAATGACTCATCAGAGCCTGAAGTATGAAAAATATAATAATAATAATAATAATAATAATAATAATAATAATAATAATAATAATAATAATAATAATTAGAATAATAAAAATAAAAATAAAAATTAAAATATAATAATAATAATAATAATAATAATAATAATAATAATAATAATAATAACTAATAATAATAATAATAATAATAACAATAATAACAAAAATAATAATAAAGGACAATATATGAATAATATTTTTAAAAAGATCAATAGTGAGAAACGATAGGGGTGTCATACGGAGGCGAAATTTTTTTTTTTTAGTTTGAAAAATCGGCCCATGGTATTAATGATGTAGTTCTATGTGCAGAATCATGTGATATCTTCAGATTTGAAAAGTTTTCATTTTTGCTAGGTAAATTTTAACTTGAAATCTTATGAAAATTCAGTATTCCCACCCTTTTACCAACACCACTAAATAGCTTATTTAAAGTAAAGTAAATGTATCAGGTTAATTTATTAGGATGAAAATGATCCAGAATAGTGAAACGAATGATCTTGACACATTTATTAAATTTAATATTCCTTTAGAAAACAAAATCATCAAATACAAAAACCGGTTTTACTACTACGACCCGGTGTTGCTGCACACCATAGAGAATATGTCTTTCTTGCTTCTGTTTCTACTCATCACCTCCCTGCTGACCACCTGAGCTCGGATGTAGCCTTCCCTCCTCTCCTGGCTGTACACGTGACTGCTGGCCTCGCTCACTTGCTGTACACAACGCTCTATACTCTGGGTGTGCGGGGGCCAGGCAGGGACATGCATGGGGTTGTCCAGGAAAGCTCTGACTTGAACATTGGTGAGGCTGCAGGTAAGAGGGGGCTCACTGCCAGCCTGGATGCTATCCAGATCTATGAGATCAGTGAGGGTCTTGGCACCTAGATTGACTTCAGGAGTCTTCCTGACCCTGAAGGAATCGTCACCAACTGATTCGTCATGCCCAGATCTCTCATAAGTCTCATATCCAAGATCTTTTTGACTGCCACTCTTCTCTCCTCATCCTTACTGCAGAGCATTGTCTGCAGAACTGCCTCGGGATGAGCATACCAGGAAGATCTCCTCACAGTCTGCTCCACAATCTGAACAACCTTCCTTGGCTGACTCCTCAGGAGCTCAAGCTGGAAGAGAACATGCCTCGGACCTTCGGAGAAGCGATGACTTGACCTTGGTGTTGAACCAATTTGGCAGAAGTATAGACACTCACGATGAATTGGACAATAAGTCTCAGGTTGTGAAGCTGGTTCCCTTTCAGTTTATGATGGGCGGCCAAATTCACCTACAGAACCTGAGAGCCGTTGTGAGCCACCTAGAATGTGAGACTGGACCTATCAGGTAAGCAAGTCTATCAGGCATGACCCCAGTTTGATGGCACCGCAAATCATGTAACCATAGTACTGGTCAGTACTCCAGATGCGTCAATGACAGTATGTGCAAGCTCAGCGAGTGGGAGGGGCTAACTGTGATTTTTTTTTTCTAAAGTTTCCGATATATTTCTAACTCAGTGGGCAGAGTCCAGCATCTTGCCAGTTAAGAGGACCAGACCATCTGTTGTTTGAGTCTTGGCTATCCAGCTCCTGGGATCAGATGCTCGGAGTGGCAACTCGTTGGTGTGAGGCTGCCAACAATCCAGACCAGCTTCTCCCAATCTTCTCTGCTTCCATCCACTGTGCATGACCCCCCCTCACACCCTGTGTCTGTGTTAGTGCTGTCCCCCTCCAATGGCCCAGGGTCTGGTCTACGTTCCTCTCTCTGGAGCCAGTTCACAAATGCCATTCCTGCCACTATCTCAGCTGGCTCTTGATGTCATCTTTCTTCTGAGGAATGCCATAACATTTTCCTCCTGGTTCACTGCAGCAGGAGTAGTGTTCCTCCTTCACCATGGCAGGGAACAACTTCTCAGAATCTCCAACTTTCATGAACACTTTAGTGTCATCCCTTCTCCCATCAAAGAACAAACAATTGATTCCATTTCTCTTATCCCCTTATCAAACTCCTCTTCTAGGTTACTGACAAGTTTCTCCTGAGCTCTCCTTACTTTGTTATGATCTATCACCAGGTGAACATCATCAGGTGCTATCAAACCACCGTCAATCCAGGCAGCTGTTGCTATCTCTGCAGTTTCTCTGAGACCAGTGTGGTGTCGCATGCTGGCCAGAGCTATGCTCGGGATATCTTTCCTATTTCGAATCTTATGCCTGGAAGGTTTGGGATCATTATTTTCTGGGTTAGGGACAAAGTCACCATTCTCCTGGTCAGCACTCGAATCAGCCATGGGGAAGTCATTAAACTCTGAATCAGCTTGACTCCAATCATCGGCCTTTACCTCAAATTCTGGGCCTTCAAGCTTTTTTCTCGGCACCTTTCTCCTCTGTCTTGTGTTCTCCTGCCCTGACCCGGAATATCTTAAAGAAATCATGAGAGCCCCTACATTGCCAGTTTTCTCTTCTGTGTTGACAAATGCCAGTTCGATCACAGGAATCTTCAGTTCACGCTTTGCAAATACAGGGAGATGTGGGTCTTCGATTTACAGTCAATGATCGCATCCAAACTCAGGACAGGTAGAACAATTGGCACTTGTAAGTAATTATGTCAAATAACTGGTCCAGTTGCTTGGGCAAAGCTATCCTAACTGCAAGTTTTTCCTCCCAAGAGAGACATCTCTGGCCTTTCCCAACTGGCTAGCAGTCTCACTAATCTTCTTCTGACTTGTTATGACTGGAGGCTTGAACTGAGCGTTAGCCAGAGTGTACTGTGCCAAGACAGCTTTGGTCATATCACTGGCAATGTCTTTGTTTGTAAGTTCTTTGGTTCTTTTCACTGATTTGCCTGATTAAAACACCGTATCTCAAAGCATCTCTCAATGTAGGCAACTCCGACTTCAGGAGCTCTCTCCCAGACCCAAGATAGTGACTGAGGTGGCTGGATTTTTGGTTCCTCGTCCTGACACAAGCAGCCATCGCAAATATTATCAACTTATAAATGCATCAGAATCTGAAACAGAAAAAATATTGTTAGTTGGGTTGTTAAAGAATGAAGTCAGAAAGCAATGTTCACTATTTAATTGTAATGCACTATTGCAGCTGTACGTTAGATTTTCGATAAATTTCACGCTAAAATTTACCTAGCAAAAGGTTGCAAAATATTGAAACTGAAATTATTTTCTGTTTATATACACTAAAATCTACCCAAAAAGTGATGGGCCATTAGTTTTAGCTGATGTTCCCTCCTATGACACACCCTAATATACAGTATATATATGTTATGTAGAGACCACAATAAAATACATAAGATATTGGGGAGAGAAAGTATATATATATATATATATATATATATATATATATATATATATATATATATATATATATATATATATATATAAGTAATACTCAGAAATTTCGGTGTGATATTTACAGACGTTAGAACGAAAATAACCGACCTGTCGAAGCAGGAACAGAATAAGTAGGCCAAGCTGAAACACCCACTCCTCATGGCGAGTCAAATAAGCTCAAGCAACGCCCTCAAGCAAGGTGGAAGCATTTTGAACTAGGCCTATATGA